GTGTGGAGGGTTTCTTCTTGAGTTATAAATACTTTCCAGTTACAAGGGCCTTTCATCTGAGATTCCCAAGCACTTTAGAATAGCAATAACCTCGATTGCTTTCTAAATGCACTTTCCATAAACTGCTGTGGGGACTGAGTAAATGCTTTTAAACATCTATTAATTGATCTGTACATCTGTTCATTGTCCATATTAAACAGCATGGATGTAAACATGACAGTTTAGGAGAAGTCTGCTTGGGGTTGTGGTCTGACTGCTCACAGATTACAACCCCAAAAAGGCCTGGAGCCTTGTCACAGTGTTGGGAGAGCCAGATGGGCACCTGGGTATTTTGCTCACTCAAACTAGGCTCAGCAAGGTCACTTCCTGGAGTTTGCCACATATGGGTGAATTAACAATTCAAAGTCAGTGGAAGAATTTCCACTGGAGAAACTTGGAGTCATTTCTTGGCTGACAGTAGTGGTTCTTATTTGGGTCCCAGATAATCTGTCCCTTCCCTCTTGTGCTCCTTACTCTCTTCCCTGAGCAATGGCATTTTCAAAACAGCAATAATTGTAATTTACTGCAGTTGATACAGAGTTTCACCCTCTATGTCTCACTCAAAGTTCATTTAGGGAGTGATTAATCCTGACAATTTGACTAATTCATTCAAATCCAAGAGAAAGTTGGCCTGGGCTACAAGGTCCTGCAAGTTCACCTGGAAGTTTATGAGATGAGCATCCCTCATCCTATCCATCCTTTATGCTTTACTCAGAGTTATCTTTCTACAACCCAGATGGAATCCCATCACCCCTCTGCTGTAAAAAACCTACCCAAATGAAGTATGTCAATTATTTATCAATGAAAATGGAAAAATAAATAAATTAAAAGAAAAAAAAAAGAAAAGAAATCAATTCTACTGGAATTCACCCACTTAAGCCTACAGTGAAAAGAAACATGTTTAGTCCCCACTACAAACAACACAGCATAGAAATGGCTAAATAAAGGAATGTTTGAGACAACAAACTCTATAGTACTTTACACAGTCTTTTATTAAAGAACAAGTAGAACTAGTGTCATACAGATTACTCTGAACTACTATGTTTTATGATATATTCCATGTAATTTAATTTTCAGCAGTGGATTGGGGCTGTTCCTTCCTTTGAAATTCAAAATAAATCTCATTATGAACCTGTGAGGAAAACAAACTTCAAGTCTGAAGTTCTATAAAAACATGAAGGTTAGGAAATGACATGTGTTTTAATGACCAAAATGTTTGAAATGATACTACTAAAAATAAGCAATCTAATTCTGAATCCTGTAACTTTGCTGATTTTACCTCAAAATCCTTCACATCAATTCTTTTTGTCCTTCTCCCACTCTTACATCTCATAAAATAATAAACAAACAAACCTGAAGAATAAAGTCCAAAGTGCCTTAGCAGGGCACATGTGGCCTCCATGACCTTAGCCTGCTGGCCTGTTTTTCTAGCTTCATCTCTGTCCACATGACGCGTGGCTTTGGCTACACCAAAGAAGTTGCCCCTTCTCCAGAGATCTCAAACTTTCCTGTCCATGCCTCCTGCAATATCCTCTTTCATCTTCCCTCCTTGCCATATACTGCTGTCCATTAAAGCCCACCTTTAATATCCCTCCTCTTTGTAGCCTTCTTTTTATATATATATATTTATATATATATATATATATTATTATATTTATATATATTATATTATATATATGTTATTATATATATGTATATATATTTATATATATATTTTTTAAGCTTTGTTTATTTATTTTTGAGAGACACAGAGGGACAGTGTGTGAGCAGGGGAGGGCAGAGAGAGAGAGGATCGATTATGCTGCAAGCAGAGCTCCACCTTGGCCATGAGCCCAGAGCAGCTGAAGCTCAGCTTTGAACCATGAGATCATGACCTGATGATGCACGAAAGTCAGCGCCACAACTGTAGCCACCTAGTGCCCCATCTTCAGCTTTCTATGAAGGCCACCACACATCCTCCCCACCTCTTTTTCCTGGAGCACCCTACTTCTCTCCATCTCCATGATCATATCTGTCACATCACCTTTCGGGTGCTGGTTCATATATGCCTGTCTTTTCACCCTTCTGGGAGCTTCTTGAGGGCAGGGACCATATATAGTAATATATGTCAATTATATTATATATATAATTACATATTAATATATATATAATTAATATATCTTGCTCAGTAAAGTTTTGTTGAGGGTCCTTTTTGCACTTCAAAGGGACAGAGAGGGAGTAACTGTAGCTTAAGACCCCTGTGAGGCCTGACGGGCTGCTAGTCAGGTTGAGATCCAACTTCAGCTCAGGTCATGATCTCACGGTTCGTGAGTTCAAGCCCTGCTTGGAATTCTCTATCTCTCTGCCCCTTCCCCTACTTGGACTCTCTCTCAAAATAAATAAATAAACTTAAAAAAAAAAAAAGAGACCCTTGTAAACTATTTGGAACCCTCATTTTGTAGAATTTGTCTTACCTGCTGTGGGGAGCTCACTCCAAAATAATTATGACCAATTGGTCTTCAGATTATAAAATGATAAATTCCTTTTTTTGTTTTCTTTTCTTTTTTTAGATTTTAATTGTGTTAAAACATACATAACATGAAATTTATCATTTTGATCATTTTTAAGTGTACCATTCAGCGACATTAAATACATCCATGTTGTTTTACAATTATCACCACTACCTATCTCCAGACCTTTTTCATCTTCCCAAACTGAAACTCTGTACCCATTAAACACTAACTTTCTATTCCCTCCTCCTACTTTCCCTGGAAAACACCATTCTACCTTTTGTCTCTATGAATTTGACTACTCTAAGTACCTCATATAATTGTAATCATGTAATATTAGTCCCTTTATGACTAGCTTATTTCACTTAGCATAATATCTTCAAGTTTCTTCTGTACTATATCATGTGTCCAAATTTCTTTTCTTTTAAAGGCTGAACAATATTCCATTATATATGTTATATTTTGTTCACTCCTCTGTCGATGAATACTTGAATTGTTTCCATATTTTGGCTACTATGAGTAACACTGCTATAAACATGGGTATTTAAATATCTAATTGAATTTCTGCTTTCATTTCTTTTGGATTATATAGCCAGAAGTAGAACTGCTAGATCATATGGTAATTCTGTGTTTAATTTTTTGAGGAATTGCCATATTGTTTTCCACAGTGGCTACACCATTTCACATTCTCACCAATAGTGCACAAGGGTCCCAATTTCTTTGTGTCCTCACTAACATATTTATTTTCTGTTCTGTTTTGTTTTTTAGTAATAGCCATTCTAATGTGTATTGAAGTGGCATCCACTGTGGTTTTGACTATATTCAGTTTGGGGCCTCTGCATCCAATGTCTTAATTTTCCATGATAAACCCAATCTAACTATATAGCATGACCTGTACTTCTTCCTCATGAGACTTGAGCCTGCCTCCTGGGAAAGTTGCCACTACAGAGGAAGATCTAAAAGGTAACAGGGCCCATAAGGGCACCTGAGTGGTTCAATTGGTTAAATGGCCAACTCCAACTCAGGTCATGATCTTACAGTTCACAAGTTTGAGCCCTGCATCAGGTTCTGAGCTGTGCTGACAGCTCAGAGCCTGGATCCTGCTTCAGATTCTATGTCTCCCTCTCTCTCTGCCCCTTCCCTGCTCTCTCTCTCTGTCTCTATCTCTCTCTCAAATAAATAAAACATTTTTAAAAAATCTTTTTTCTTTTTTTAAAGGTAACGGGGCCTATAGCCTGTTGTACTTCTTCACACAGGTCAGCAGGGGGCACTCTCACAAGGCTGCCCTGGAGGTTCAACTGACAAATGACAGGGTAGTTTGCTTTTCCAGGCCAAAGCAAGGTCCTAGATCACCAGCAAGAGTCCTTTGGTTTCTTGACGCTCTTCCCCCATCCTGTCCTCATAGTGTCAGCATCAAGGAGAACCAAGCAGCCAAGACTATAGCCATGTTTCTCAAAGGATGTGCTACTGGTATGCAGAGTGGGAAAATTCTGCATCATGTAGGACAATCCTACACACTGCAGAACATTTAGCATCTCAGGCCCCTGCTTGCTAAATGCCAGCAGTGGTTCCCAGTCATTGGGATAACCAAATGCCCCTCCCCCACCTACATCGCCCAAGTAACCCCCTCTGGAGATTGCAAGTTGCCCAAGTGAGATATGCAAAGGAATCTGGAGATTTCCGGTATCTGAACTCAAAGCAACAACTACCATAAAAAGGCTTCATGTCCAGTTGAGTAATGCTGGAGCTTAGCCAAGGAAAACGTCACAGGTTGCTTTAGGTGACCTAGATGACTCCCCTGAGTCTGTTAATGGTTAGTTGACAGTGTAAGGTTTGCATACCAGGAGAAAGGGAAAGACACTTTCTAAAAGCAAGATGAGTACTATAACCAAAAAAATATCCCAATATCGCCCCTGCTCCTGCAATCAAGACTTGAAATCTGAGCCTAGTCCCTTAAACCTTCCCCTCCCCCCCGCCCCCCTCCCCCCCCACCTCAGTGTGTGAGCACTGCCCTCAGCAGTCTCTGCCTTGCCTAGGCTGGTTTAAGAGACTTCACTTCCCTGTGCTGCCATAGCAACCAGGAAACAACCTCTGCTCACAATGAGAAGGATGGTGCCATGGCCCAGATCTGTAGATGCACAAAGCCGGTAACAGAGCAACAGGACCAAGGGACAACAAGGGCACAGGCAAAGAGAAGAGAGAGGTTGCCCAGAGAATAGACAATCCAGAGCTTGAGGAGTCTGAGTTTGCAGTTTATTTTTTTCTCCCGACAAAGACACACACTGTCTAAACTGTGTGGCTGGTTGTTATTAAGAAGCTGCTGTACGAAGGAAAAATGTATTTAATAAAAGGCCCAGTGTTTGTGGTCTTCTAGGGCTCACTGCTGAGCTCAGGAAATCTTGAGGTGTGACCAGTTTTCAGCCTTCAAAACCAAGATGAACTGCCCTTGAGAAGGGTGGTCAGGAGGGAAACATGTTCACGCTCTCTCTACTGAGCCGGGGACATGGGAAGTTGGTCCAGAATAAACAGAAGCTAGAAGTCTATTTTGAACCAGAGGTAAGTCTTACAGCTGAATAAAGGCATATTTTGGGGGCGGGAAAGGAATGCTCTATTTTTCCATTTGGGGCTGAGCCATGTGTGTTTTGGTTCCGTTTGTTAGTGAGGTGGTGGGGGTCACTGGTAGACTTCCCCTACTTGGTAAAACTCAAGAAAATAAGAAAGTTTGCTTGCACATCAATATTGCCACTGGGACCCTCTTCCTTCCCCTTGGACACTAACTTACAGTCTCCTTTGCTTTAGACTGAAGGAGATTCCAGATTGTCTAGAATTCAGATGGTTTGGTTCAAGATCAGAATTTCCATGTGGGTTCTAGGCAAATTGATGGCTGTTTGGTTTTGAGAAGTTGTCCTCTGTGATTGAAATGTTGCGTATGTTCATGCCATTTCAATGGCTTCCTTGAACTGTCTGAAATTCAACCCAGAGGACTCATACTTAACATAGGCCAAAAAAAAAATTTTTTTTAAACAATAAAAACAAATCTCATTTTAGAAGATTTTAAAGAGGTGGCAAAATTCCCTTGTACTGGAATTTTATTTCATTGAATCCTGCCAGGAATAAGAAATCCAGTGGGGTTCTTTGAAATTTTTTGGATCATACAGAGATTTCCATTGTCTTGGTAGTTTGTCGTGATATTTGACCTTTGCTATGGTAAAAGACATATAAAGTTTCAAAGGACCTCTGTAGCCAGCAGCATTCACTTACTTACAAGATATGCAACTACTTTATAGGGTCCTAAATAGCCAAATTAGGTAATGTTACATAGCATCTGGAATGTATAGAAATTCTCCCTGTGTACAGTCGAAGTGATGGTTGGAACAGTTTTCCCCTATTTAAACTGCCAGCTAGTCCAGCTCTAATTTCAAAGTTATCTGCTGCCTTTGATGATTCTGACTACTTATTTGCATACTAGGAAATTTTAACTGGCCTGTAGCCTACACTCTACCCTATTTAAGACTCCGAGCATGAATGGCTCTCCTGAAAGTTGCAGAGGGTAAAACAGAACAGAACTCTGCTCTGGGTTCTACTAATTCTGAGGTGTGGAGAATAAAACCAGTTGCTAAGAAGAGTGGTTGTATTCTGTGACACCATGGAAGCATTCAGAGAAAATCAGTCACTAAAAAAATGTCGGGGTGCCTGGGTGGCTCAGTCAGTTGAGCGTCTGACTTCAGCTCAGATCATGATCTTGTGGTTTGTGAGTTGAGCCCCAGAACTGGCTCGCTGCTGTCAGCACAGAGCCCACTTGGATCCTCTGTGCCCCCTTTCTTTGCCTCTCTCCTGCTTGCACTCTCTCAAAAATAAACATTTTTTAAAAATAATTTAAAAAACTAAAAGATGTCAAACACCTTGCACAAGTAGTATTGCTACAAAGGGGCCTTGGATCAAGGTGGTTTCTTTCCATTGCAGGATTACTTGAACTGGAAGTCCCCAGAAGATTATGTCCTGGTCAGCAAACCGCAGGATGACGGCATTGCCAACCAGCACACCTGGAGCCTCTTTCTTCCTAAAACATTCAGTACTAGAAAGGGAGCCCTGATCCTCTACTCAGAAGGTTTAGCCTTATCAGCATGGACACCCGAAGGGAGGAGAAAAGGCCCCTACCACTCCAAAGGCCACAGGAAGAGGCTGGGTTTTGAACTGCACACACTCCAGGACCTCAAAGAAGCCATCCTGGCATATGGAAGGGGACAGGTAGGCAGAACAGTCCTGGGTTTGGGGAAGATGCTGGCCTGTGGGTCTAGAAATCCAGTTGTAGCTTTGGCTATAATTTCTCAGACCCTAGAGAAGGTATAAAACACTTGGATCTCCATTTCTTCATCTCTATAATGGGACTGTACTCTTGGCCTCATCTGCCTCACTCAGTTGTCAAAAGGCTTAAATGAGATAATGTATGTGAAAAGGCTCTGAAAGGATAAAGGGCTATATTACCATCATTTTGTATTTTCCTTTCCGTTAAAGTAATACAAAGTCCTTTTCAGCTTCAGACAGATCCAGGCCAGCAGACATTTCATCAGAATCCTTGAAATCCTGTCTCATAGCCACAAGCATCATCATCATACCTCTGATGTTTTTGGCTTTGTGGAAATGAGAGGGAGAACATTTTAAATATTTACCTTGAGCCCTTCAGCATCTGCAGAAGTTAATGAGTTTTTCCATTCTGAATTTAATGTTAAGGGAAAATCCCTGTGCTCATTTTTCTGATTCATATGTTCTAACGTCTTATGAGATGTCCACATGGCCCCTGCTTTATATAACTGCATGCATCAGCCCTTTGGCAAGGCCATGTGAGAGTCTAGGAAGATGTATCACTTTATACAATTCTAGGCCATAGATGCTGGGTCACTCCCTAGTTGTTGTTGTTTTTTTTTTTTTTTTTTTAAGTTTATTTTTTGAGAGAGAAAGAGAGTAAGAGATTGAGAGTTGGGGAGGGGCAGAGAGAGAGAGAGAATCCCAAGCAGGCTCTGTGCTGTCAGCACAGAACCAGACATGTGGCTTGAACTCACGAACCTCGAGATCCTGACCTGAGCGGAAATCAAGCCTCGGTCGCTTAACTGAGCTACCCAGGCGCCCCCACTCCCTAGCTTAAAAGTCTGCTGGCTTCTCATTCCCCACAGGATAAAGTCATTGGCTACCTATACCAGGCTCTTCACGTTGACTTTCTCTTCCATATCCAGCCACGTCTACCCCTTGTTCTTACCACCACCTGAACTGTGAACCCGAGACCCTACCCATATGAATAGCTTACCATTCCCCAAATACTCTGTGCCCTTTCCTGACTCTGTGCTTTTGTATCTGCTTCTCCTGCTCCTGCTTACCCTTCAAAATATGACTCAGATGTCATTTCCTCAGTGACGTTTTCTCCACTTCTCTAGGCAGAGATATCCCATTGCTCCCTCCTCTGTGAACATTCCCATACAATCATGCATTGCCATTTATCACTTTGTCCATCTGTCACCATCTCCTTGAGGGCAGGAACCATGTCTAAATCATTTCCTGAAAATAGTGAGTACCCATAAATGTTTGTGGAATGAATAAATCGATCATGTAGGATACTTCCAGTGTTTCTTACATCATCTCCCAGTATCATTATTGGGCAACATATCACCTACCCCACCCTAGGCAGAGCTTCCAAAAGGAAAGATTCCTCTGCCCCTTTTCATTCTTTCAAAATACAGAGAAGTATTGTATGAGAAGTATTTTATTTAATCTTCACAGTGACTCTGTGACATATGGTTTTTCTTGCCCCCTTTCATAAATGAGGGAACTGAGGCTCAGAGGAGTTAAGTGACCTGGCCAAGGTCTCAGAGCTAGTAAATGACAGAGCCAGAATTCAAACCTGGGATTGCTGACCTCTCCAGGGCAGGCATGCTTTGCACTTGTGCCCTATTGTCCATGGACTTGGAAGGGCCTCCAGATGTCACTGTGCCAGGACTTGGCCTGTTTGCCCTCACATTCATTCCTCACCTTTAACTTACTTTGCTCTACACAAAAGTAGGGTTGACCACAGACTATATATAATTCCACAAACATCTGTGTCAACTGGCTTCTAATTGAATTTGCCAGTGGGAGACACTGGAAGGAGACTGGAGAGAGAGAAGAGAAAAGCCAAGATATTTCTTCCCTCCCATTCTATCTGCAGGTGGTGAGGAACACTTGCATCACCTCTGTGGTCCAGCTCCCAACAGACAGGCCCAGTGTGACTCTTCACCAGGTTCCTCCAGCTGACCCTACCTGTTCCTCCCTCTGTCCTTGAGCCCAGGGATGGTGCTGGTTTCCTGATGTTACAAATCTCAGTGTTGCTTCACCATATTTCTGGCTTCTGAGCTCTCTAATCACCGGTGCAACCAACTCCCTGAATTAAATTTTTGCTGTGTTTAAATACTTGAGCGGTTTCTTTTTCCTGGTTGGACCCTGCTGTATAGGCTAACTTATTGTCAAGAGTAAGAATACCTTCCACAGCTTTCAGACACTTGTCAATATGGCTTAAATATTTCAGGCAGCAGGGATATTTTTACTTTGTAAAGTAGAAGAGTCTATTTGGGGATGGCTTCATTTGGGTTAGACTTGGGCTCAGTGAAAAAGGGATGTTCCTGTCTTCCTGTGGTACCCACTTAACCAGATATATAACACACACCTGTAACGAAACAGAACACTGTATTCTACCACCAAATGGGTAGAAGAGAAATGGTGTGAAGAAATCAGAAAGAAAAGAACTAGTTACAGTGTAGAAATTTAAGATTAAAGGACATTGGGGTGCCTGGGTGGCTCAGTCAGTTAAGCGTCCGACTTCGCTCAGGTCATAATTTCCCTATTTGTGGGTTCGAGCCCCACATCAGGCTCTGTGCTGACAGCTCAGAGCCTGGAGCATGCTTTGGATTCTGTGTCTCCCTCTCTCTGCCTCTTCCCTGCTCATGCTCTGTCTCTCTCTCTCTCTCTCCCCCTCTCTCTCAAAAATAGATAAACATTAAAAAAAAAGATTAAAGGTCATTGTAGGTTGAAATAGGAGGAGTAACCTGAAGGGATTTGGGATTAAAGAAAATGAACAGCTTGGAAGAGGAGAGCTTTGTGAACTGTAGACCACCATCTGATTATGAAACCTACAGACTGGCAAGAAGCTTTTAAAATCATAATATCCGGTGCTGGGAAGGCTCTGGGGAAATAAGCCATCTCATACATTAGGAACACACATTCACAAGACTTTTCTGAAGGGCATTTTGGCAAAAGCCTATATAATACTCTGATTTAGCATTCTACTTTTAGGAATTTGCCTTAGGAAATAATCAGAGATGTGCCCAAAGATTTATGCACAAGAATGTTTACTACAGGTTATTTATTACTATACAAAGCATTGAAAATAATAAACATCCAACAATGAAACATCAATTAAATAAATTATAGTACAGTCATATAATGGATTTGGGGTTGGGCAATAAAGTCATGTAGTAGTCATGAAGAACATGAGAAAATATCCACAGTATATTTTTAAGTCAGGTTACAAAGTAATATTCATATAATAAAAACACCAAAGTTCTTTAACATTTTTTGGGTATTTACTATGTTCCTGCCACTGCTTTAAGTACTTTTTGTATGTAACTCATGTATGCTTCCCATAAGTCCTGAGGGTAGGTACTATTATTATCCCATTTTAGAGGTGAGGAAATTAAAGCACAGAGAGTTCGAGTCATTCACTTAAGATTATACAGTCATGTAGATAATTGCACCAGAATTCGAGACTAGCAATATAGAAAACATCATCTCTCTAATGTAATTCCAATTTTTAAAAATTAGTTATATAAGCAGGGGGATACATGCCAAATTTTAACGATGGGTGGTGGAATTAAAAGTCATATTTTTACTCATACATACATTTTTACCAAACATTAATTTTTTAAGTCATAGAATTTTATGAAGTCATGGTATTTTAAAAATTAAATTTAAATCTGTGGGTAATCTTTCATGTTTATGTGGATTCCCTGTACATATGTAATTAAATCAGATTTCCTCCTGTTAAAAAAATGAATAAAATAAAAAATTTTTAAAGTAAAAATCTATAACTTTGAAGGAAGTAGACAGTGACAGAGAGTGAGGTTGACCTTCAAGAGCCAGATGAGATCAGGAAGGGAAATGAGATAGAAATAGTACTGTAAATTAGGCCCACCAATCACCACACTATCTGTTCCTCAGGGTCAGTATTTCCTTATCAAAATAGTATATAGTTCAAGAGTTAAAAACACCACACTCAAAGTAAAAGAACCAAAATGGGGGTGGGAGGGAAGGGGAGATAGTTGACAGAGTAGGGCTGCTTACAGAAGGATCTATACTGGCTGAACTGTGAATCAGGAAACCTGCAAAATTCCAGCTCATTCAGACCTGTAATAATAGAGCCCATCACAGGGAGGTGCAATTAAGTTTTTAAAGCATCTCACATTATCTCCAGTTCCATATATGGATCTAATGACATTCAGTGGCAGTGTGTTTGGGTTTTATAGCTCAACATACACTTATTCTTTAAATTTCTTTTTTTTTTTTTTTTTTTTTGAGAGAGAGAGAACACTTGTGGGGGAGGTTGAGAGAGAGAGAGGGAGAGGGAGAGGGAGAGAGAGAGAGAGAGAGAGAGAGAGAGAGAATCTTAAGCAGGCTTCACACCCAGTGTGGAGCCCAATGCTGGGCTTGATCTCATGACCCTGAGACCATGACCTGAGCCGAATTCAAGAGTCTGATACTTAACCAACTGAGCCACTGAGGTGCCCCTTCTCTTTAACTGTCTTGATGGCCCAACTCTTAATGAGCAAAGATAAGTGCTAAATCAAGAGATTAGATGTCAGAGTTCTCACACTTCTAGATACAAACATGTTGCTTTGTTTTTCAAAGAAAATATTGTTAAAACATTCCTAAAGTGATAATCATTTTTCCCAAGGGCTTTAATTCATTCAGCCTCTCAGTATTTAGAAATCAAATAGTGGGGCATCTGGATGGCTCAGATGGTTAAGCATCTGACTATTGGTATCGGCTCAGCTCATGATCTCATGATTTCATGAGTTGGAGCCCTGAGTCGGGCTCTCTCTCTCCCTCTCTCTCTGCCCTTCCTTTGTCTCTCTCAAAATAAATAAATAAAATTAAAAAAAATTTTTTTCAGAAATCATATAGCTATAAAACCTAAATAACCATAGTTTGGGGTAGTAGGGTAGTAT